CGTAAAAAGAATAGTTTCGGACAGATGCTGAGTCTAATTGGATGACTTGTAAGTAACAATTTTTTCGAGTTTTTTTTAAAATTGCAGCTGCATTTCAATTAGGTTGTAGCGTAGTGCAGGTACATAGTGCACTTTTTGGAAGACTAACATCATCTAATAAAATAATTAATAGGTCAATTTATATCAAATCTTATCGTGTCTCAAACCAAATAAACATAACCCTTCATTCCACAATCTAAAGGTAAGAAACCAAGGATAATTACCAATTAGGTAACGTGGGTCGAGATTTTTGCAAAATACTGGACATTTTGACACAAAATCCGGAAAAATACCGTTTTTCTTTCCATTCTTTTACCATCACACTGAAACCTTAGCAATTATATTTCCTATGTTAATACATTGGTAAAACTTTTCCCTATTTTAATACAATGAATTTCTATTACTTATCCTTATACATAGGGAAATCTATACACCACTTAAGACATGAAAAATTTGGGCGCCAAAAAATACTTACAATCTGAAACTTACCATCTGAAACTTGATATCTTAATACAATGGGAAACCTATTCCCTATCTTTTTACATTGGGAAATCTATTCCCTATGTTAATACATAAGTTGAAGACCGGATAGACTCTAGCCAGTATTATTACATAGAGGTCTTCACTCCCCTTCCGGCTGAATCTACCCGACAAATACTCCTGATAGTCGCATGACTAGCTGATTTTCCAAACCATTCAGTTAGTTTTTCGCGTTGTAACTTTATTAGAAAAAATCAAGTCGGGAGATATAAAAACAACTGTTTGATAGCTGCTTGTATAGAATTGTGACATCCTTTGATTCTAACAAATCGTACGAATTAAGTTCAACGCATTTCTCAATTGTTCATTTATGCTTTTATTCAAAGGTTCCGATTGATGATAAAAGAAACTTGAGAAATAATCAGGTTCAAATTATCTTGAAAATCATATTGGAAAGTAATCCAAATTTTTTAATCAAGAGTGAGAATTGCAATTGTTGCTTGTCTACAGGATTGTGTTGTTTTGAACTTGCTGTAAAAGTAAATAAAAAATGAATACGTTTTTATCCAAAATTTGTAACAAAATAAGGGATAATTATGAAATATAGACTAATTGGTTCGTTTTGCCTAGCTTTAATTATATAATCATTCTAAATTAATTCTTGGATTAAGTCCACGGAGTAGTGCATTGTTAGGCAGACAAAGGGTGTCTTATGAATCAAAAAAAAATAATTTCCTACTGTTTTTGATAACTGACGATGACAAAAAGATAAGAATTTGATAATTTTATTGGATTTTGAACATTTCCAGATATTAAATTTTTTAAAAGTGCACTGGAATTTCACTTCAAAAATTAAGTTTGAGGCAAGAACGTACAGTTATTTGGATCAGAAAAGTCCTCACCGAAGCTTCATTGCAAATGGATTTTTTGGTGCAAACTTTGCATCGGAAAAAAAACAAACGATCTTTGAAATTATACAAAATTACATATAAGTTTCCTTTTTCGAGTATTTGGTTCAAAATTGCTTCAATTGGAAAACGGTAGATCAACCAGAAACCAAGAAAGATTAAGTTGAAGTTTTTTGACAAAATCAAATGAAAATTTAACTTAAGTTATAGCTTGAGGAAAAATTCAACATAAAAACCATTTTGTTAGACCTTATCCAGATAATAAAATACCTAGAAATGCACTGTAAATTCACTATATACGTTAAAGATAAAGCAAGAACATAAAGTTATTTTGGATAAAAAAAGTCCTCTCCGACGCTTCTTTGCAAGTGGATTTTTTGGTGAAAACTTCGCATCGTAAAAAAATAAACAATCTTTGAAATGATACAAATTCACATATAACTTTCATTTTTCGAGTAAGTTTCGGTTCAAATTGGATTTAATTGGAAAAAGGTAGCTCAATCAGAAACCAAGAAAATCTTAAGTTAAAGTTTTTTGACAAAATCGAATGGAAATTTAATTGAAGTTAAAGCTTAAGGAAAACTTTAACATAAAAACCATCAAGTATTGGTACTTATGTGTAAATTATCAGAAGGTTTGTTTTCATTTGATGAATTAAGTAAAGTTTCATGAAAATTCAGATAATTTAAGGCTATTTTCCTTGAAGTAAACACAAATCCGAGTCAAAAATTTTCATATAAATGATAGAGTTTTCCCACTTTTACATCTACATTGTTTTCTTGAAATCAAGTAAAATTACTACTATAAAAATGAGCTTAATTTAAGACACTCAACAAACTGTAATGTTTTTCCTTTTTCTAACAAGTATCTTCAATTGCTGTAACCAATCGAAAACTCAAGTTATGGAAAAAAAATCAACAAAAACCAGGAAATACTGAATTTTAAACAAAACTGAAAAGAATTGGAACAAAGTATTTTCTGACAATCGAGTTCAAATTGTTGTGAAATTTTCAAAATAAATTGATCCAATTTTTATTCTACAGTAATAGCTGAAACAGTAGATTTTTTTTACAGCAAATCAGTGATTTTAAATTGTAGTAAAAATTTATTCTACGAACTACTCAGTCGAAACGTATTTGACAAAACTTCTTACTAAAAAAGTACATGATTTTTATAAAATGTCGACTTACTGAATTGTTCTGCGTAGCTATCAATTTATAAGTTTCGTAGATTATAGTCGTTGATCACGTTCATGGAGAACCGTGTTTTTTAACAGAATGTTGAAGGCAGTGAGAATCCTAGTTATTTCTATCGCTTTCCTACGATTTCAGAAAAGTATTATCAATTGACGAATAAACGAGAAAATTGGGAAGTCTTGCTAGAATTTCAAGATTGAAAATTGTATAACTCTGGACTAAAAGTCACTTCAAAAACATAAGGAATAACAGAAGAATATATAGTAATCTGGTTCAGAATTTCTCAGAAAAAAAAGGAATCTTTTGATGCCTAGTTTGATTTGGATTAGAGAGCGTTCGTTCAAATGATACAGTTTCCATTTAAAATCATATATTGAGCAAAGTTTTTTTCAAATTGTATTGGAAAACACTAGAATTTGGAGGAGGTAGATCAAGCAGAAACCAAAAATATGTTATTTTTGATTTGACAGAAAAATAATAATGAAAATCATTTCACTTATTGGTTATTTTTTGAAAAATTGTTCTTGGTTTTAGATTAGGTATAATAGTCTAAGAAAGAATCGAAAGTCAAAACACTCAAGTATAGACATCTTAAAATTTTTATTGTGTTTTTATTTCTATCGTTTACTTAAATGAGTTAAGTGAAATTATGGAAGATAATTTAAAATTAATTTGGATATGAAAATGATCGGTGAATTGATACAATTTTTTCATAAAAAGTTCATTTAGTATTTCATTTCTTGTTCTGTAGGAAAAAGGAGATAGAGTAGTAGCCAAAATTATGCCTACTAATTATATATTTACTTGAATTGTCAAAGAAAAACTACTACAAAGCTCTGCTGTAGAAATAGTTTTGAAAAACATCAGGGCTTAAAGATGACAAGAACTGATGAAGGTGTGGAACAACTTCAGATTTTTAGAAAAGTGTACATATCCATAAATTTCTTTAGGAAACATATACTTTTCGAAGTTCGACATAGAACATTCCTCCAAATCTGTTTCATATACGCTCCTAGGATGATAGCGAAGATAAAAACCTGGATAAAACAATTGTTTATGATAAATTAGCAGAAAATTGAATATTGCTCAGAAGTCACACTTTACTTTATTAGTTTGGATTTTTATATCAAAGTTTTAAAGTTGTCTCCTTCAAATTAACTTTGATTAATTTTAAATAAAAGTCCATTTCTGAAGATTCAAATCGTTGAAACTGTCACCAACATTTCAAAATTAATATTAAAACTAGTTCTTTGAACTGATGTTGTTTACACTAAAGTTAACCTCTAGGACATAAAGTTATTAGCAAGTTAGATATAGAGCTTAAAAAAGAAAAGTTTCGGACAGATGCTGAGTCTAATTTGATGACTTGTATGTAACAGTTTTCAAATTTTAAAATTTGACAATTTTTCCGAGTATTTTTTAAATTTCAGCTGCGTTTCAATTAGGTTTTAGCGTAGTGCAGGTATAAAGAGCACTTTTCAAAAGATTAACATCATCTACTAAAGTAGTTAATAGGTCAAATTATATCAAATCTTATCGTGTCTTGAAGTTTTATTGAGCACTTCCAAGTATATAGAGCACTTTTTAGAAGATTAACATCATCTAATAAAACATTTATTAACTTAAATTATATCAAATCTTATCGTGTCTTGAACCAAACAAACATAATACCTTCATTCCACAATCTATACAAAAAAAAATCAATGGTAATTACCAATTAGGTAACGCGCGCCAAGATTTTTTGCGAAAAACTAGACATTTTAAACAAAATCCGGAAAAATAACGTTTTTCTTTCCGTTCTCGTACCATCACACTGAAACCTTACCAATTCTATTCCCTATCCTGAAACATTGGGAAATCTATTCCCTAATTTAATACAATGAATTTCTATTAATAAGTCTTATACATAGGGAAATCTATACAATATCCTAATACATGGGAAATTCGAGCGCCGAAAAAAGCTTACAATCTGAAAGTTACCATCTGAAATTTGGCGTCTTAATACATTGGGAAACCTATTCCCTATCTTATTACATTGGGAAATCTATTCCCTATGTTAATACATAGGTTGAGGACCGGATAGTCTATAGCCTGTGTTATTACAAGTGGTTCTTCAACCCCCCCTTCCCCGGCTGAATCTACCCGACATATACTACTGATAAATGCTTGACTAGCTGATTTTTGAATTCATTCAGTTAGTTTTTGACTGATACCACTCATGATTTGATCTTTCTTGGGATGTTTAACTTTTTTTATCTCTAATTATACCTGATTTTAACATTGGATCGGAACTCTAGCAAAAAGGGGCAGAAGTCTTTCCATTCAACGCTGTTTGCCTCTTTCAGTGGTCTAACATGCAAAAAAAAATTGTACTAACTGGAAGTCTGGACTGTCGTATTCAGTTACTGGTTTCTCAGCAGCCTCGGTGTTGTGACTTTAACAGCAAATATCAAGTCAGGAGATATAAATTGTTGGCTAACTGCTTGCATAGGATTGTGAGATACTTTGATACTGTTTTTTAATTTTTTTTTCAATTATTTTATCATTGTTATTTCGAACTTAACAAACAAAAAAAAATAGAAAAATGATAAATTTTATACCAAAAAGCAGCTTTGTTCTGACCAATATCAAATAGTAGAAATAATTTATGACCTATGTCGTCTTTTTTGTGCGCAAAAGCATGTTTCACACCTTAAGTGCAGATTGAGTCCTTGGACGCCGGAAATTAAAACACGTTCAATTTTGACATGGGTTTCAAAACAATATGTCTTGATAGAAAATCTGTTTGTCTCCATTACCTCTCAGGGATTCGGCCTCCTCTCAGGGATTCGACCCCCTGCCGACCCAAAGGGTCCCCCCTTTGATACTTTTTCAGAAACCCATTTTTGGCCAACTGACTCTAAAATTTTTCTAAAGGCGCCGTCGGCACCAGTATATACTAACTTTGAGGGGGAGCGCGCGCCAAAATAAAACGCATTTTTTTTGTCAAAATTTTTCAAAAAGTGCCTGTTTTTTCAAAAATGTTTTTTCAAAAATTTGCCTGCAGCGCAGAAAATTTGGCCAAAGTAGTGGCAAACACAGTGCTTTGGGAGAGCTCGAAAAATCAATTTGGTCAACCTAAAAAAAAGGTCGTTAAATTTTTGGAAATTTTTTTGAAAATCCGCCCCCCCCCCCCCCCTCGAGAAAATCCTAGATCCGCCCCTGCTACCAACTATCCTGTGTTAAAATCAGCGGATGATTTGAAAATGTGTTCCAATAAATTGCTCACTTCCAAGTTAATAGGATTTTGTAACATCCTTTTGACTAACATTGGCTCGCTTGGACTTTATTTTCAATTAAAACAAGTTAAGTAAAACATTGCAGAAACATTCAAGAATATTTATTTTTGTTTTAACAATCCTATGTTATTTTTGCTCAAAATTATTCTCAAAACTTTGCCATTTACAGTTATCTCTAACATTAATTATTAGTTTTTTTTTGTGAATAAAATTTACCGAATAAAAAAACGTTACTTCATATTCGACAGCCACGAGAACAAAAGCAGATGACAATCGTTACCTGTTGCAGGAGCGAACAACACAAATCGTCACAAGTGCGATAACAATTAACACCACCAATGCAACCGACACAGCGACGCTAATGACGATGCGGAGGATTGAAATCTCATCATTGGTTGAACTCTTTTCTATTAAACGAGAAAGTTTTCTATTTAAACGAGAAAATCCGGAGGAAGCAAGAAAGTAATGAATTTAAAAATACTCCTTCCAGAAGGTTTGATTTTTTCATAAATAGAGGAGAATGTTTTTGTTTGTGAAAATTAAAATGACGATAACAGCTAAATTTACCTGAGAGCGTATAAAAATGCCTTGTGAAAACATGAGGCATTTTTTCTCCGTACAGTGATGGCTGAATCTCCAGAGAATAGTTTGAATCAGGAATCAAGTCGTCCAAACTGAATTCGCAAAACGCCACGGGAGCCATTTTGCACATAGAACCATTAAGGTGAGTTTCAAGAGCCAATTGCTCTTCATTTTCTCCTGACTCGAAATTAAAGAGCTATGAAACAAGAAGGAAGAAGAAATTAGCTATTTCAATCATTCTTATATAAAAAAAATTCTTCTTTTTTTGAGGCACCAACCTTGGTTTCAAATACAAACTGGTCTCTATGGGGAAGATAGCTCTGGAGTGTGAGAGTGAGCATGCAGTTATTCGAATTGCAGTCTAAGGTAATGACCATGGTGAAATTGATTTCTAAAAAAAAGCGGTAAACTCATGCTTTTCCCGTTTTTTTTGTTTGTAACTACATATATGATAGTTTCCAATCTCAATTGGAAAAAGATACTAAAAAAACAAATAAATCACACAAAAACCTGACATTTTAGATTAATTTTTTCCCATTTTTTTGTTGTAAGAGCTGTTTTATAGATTATTAAAATTTTGCCTTTCAAATATTCTTCAGGTTTGTTGATTGATGGCTCAGACGAATTGGAATCATTAATCTCAACTTTGCAAATTGATATCTAATGAAAATGACCTACACTGACATGAATTGCAATCGTTGTTATACTGATCAAGTAGCAAAAAGTTGTAAGCCAGGATAGAAATCGATTAATTTTACATAGAAACGCAGTTTATAAATCAGTTTTCAATTCTCAATTAAATTTGAAAGCCTGATTTGCAACTTTTTTTTTATTGTCATACGGATTTTGGTATTTATTGTCATACGGAATTCAAATCAATTTTTATCCACTTTTTATATGGTCACTTATAAAGATTAGCTACTGATTATATTCAGAATTTCTTCACTATCAACCATAAGAGCAAAAATGATTTAAAATAAAACGTCTGCTCTTCAGTTCATTTGTTGTGTTGATGTTTGAATACAGAAACTTTGAATATAACTAATCTGAAAACTTTCTGCAGTCAAAAAACTGTTCAGAATTTAGTTCATCGGTTATATATTAATTTGCAAAACCAAAATTGCGCCCAGAATTGTATGAAAAATTTTTTCATAATTTTTTTTCACAAAGTAATCTCACAAACGCAGAAACTCGCCTCGATTAAATCTATATGTTTCTTACACTGATGGAGATTTTTATTGGGTACAAAATTGGCTCGAATTTTGAAGCAAAACGACACTTAGTTTGAATCATTTTTGTCAAGATTTTTAAAGGTCTAAGTGCTACGCAAACCAACTTGAATTACTATCGCAGACATTGATTTTTTACTGCTGTAAAAACCAGTTTGAGTCAATCTAAATCGTATTACATAAGTGAGTTTCTACCGTAAACCGATTTTTTACTGTGCATTCCGTATAAAAATTGATTAAAATTGATTGCAACCACAATTTTCTCATTTCTAGGAGTCATTGTAAACGCTAAAATAAACAGGGGTTTGTGACTTTTTTCATAAAAATTTAAATTGAATTTGAGATTGTTCGTAGAGAAATACTTTCTACCTTTGCAACTGTTCGTAGCAAAATTAGGTTTATCTTGAGAAATTGATTTTATGATTGTTACATAACTCTAATAAAAAATCAAATTAAAGTCTATGATAATCTTTCAAAAAGTTATGTGAAAATCGAGTACAAAAAGTTACTGTATAAAACTTTCAGTTGATAAAATGCGTACCACAATCGAAACTTTGAAAGAGATTTAACAGAGATCAATGATACAACTGAAGTCAAAAAGTAAATTAAGAAAAAAGTGCGCTAAGCAGAAAGTAGATAGTTTCAAAATACGAATGGCTTAACACGGTTTTTATGTCATTTTTAAGGCATTTACAAATGGTGATTTTTTAATAACTTTCAACCTAATGTATTTGGTTTTATCCTCAGAATATTTTGAATAATGAACTTCCTAGAATAAAAAAAATAGGATAATAAAAATCCACCACAATAAGCTTTGAAAGCAAAAAATAAAGAAGAAAAGCAAAACAGCTAGAAAAAAATTAGCTAAGATAGCTGTTGCTGCACAGGTAGCTGCAAGTTAGCTCAGGTAGAAATATGGCCGTACCTCCGCGAGGTGAAAGAATGAATTGGTTGACAGGGGCAGATGTCATCAATCCAGTTGGAGGGTGTTCTCTCGAAAAAACAATTTCCAGTGTGATATTGTCTTCTGTGTAATTGTGGTCATACTCAAGACATTTAAGACCAATGCCACGCTAAAACAAAAAGGTCTTTTTCCAAGTTATAAAAAAAAATGAATTATCTCAAAGCTATCGATTTGCAAGAAAAAGCATACAGTTAAAATCCCCCCTCCCCACCGCCCCTATCGTATCTAAGAAAGAATCTTCGTTCTATAAATTGATACATAAAAACTAACATTATAGTTTTAGGCTATCCAATTTGTTTGCTCACAGATTGTTCGCAAGCAAACTCTTACATCTGCTTTTACAGGAAAACAAAAGAAGGAAAGAAATGAGTTTCGTAGTTCATCTTAAAAGATTTCTTTTTCGACACTTATAAGATTATGAATATAAGAAATTACTAATTAGAATTCTTATGAATTTAAGAATATAAGATTTTCTTTCGTATGAGCTGTGATGACTTGTTTTTCTTATTATCTCCATACTGATTTTTGAAATAACTTTTTTTGCAGTCAATACATTTTCAAAAAAATGACGATTGTGGTTCCAAGTGTCAGGTTGATCTTTTTTATCGCAGATTTGCAGTCACCTGTGCTGATTGTAGAGTCACATTAGATGACTGGCTTTGTCTGAGGAAGCTGTTATCCTGCAACAATCGAGTGCGCATCCTGTTCATGATTCCTCCCCCTGTCTCATTAGTTGCCTCCCACATTAGGCACACATACTTTGAATTTTTGGATAACATGTGCAACAACAAATTTGTTTTGGGCAGCCCTAAAAAGCTGTATACTAGAATGCCTAAATTAAAAACCAGAACACAAAAAATTTATAGCTAATAAGAAAAAATAATACAAAGCTTAAAGAAAAAACATCAGTGATAAAGTTAAAAGTAACTAGAGAAACTAATTTTTTAACTACGCTGATTCAATTTAAGATTCAATTCAAGTTTTTGAAAAGTGACAAATAATTTTTTCTTTCGATTGCAAGTTTTCTTGTTTTTTTTTCTCAACGAAAAACCATTTGATTATTTTGAGCACTAACTGATACATGTATGTACATTTTGTGACTAAGTCACCAAGCTCGTTTTTTTTTATCAACGTTGGCTTCCGGAAAATATTTTTTGTCGATGGAATACGCTAAATTAATGCGCGTAAATTCATAACTTTGAGAAGACAAAAAATGGCGTTCTAGATTTTTTTTCAAAAAGCTATTAAAGAGGGGGATAGTTTTGTATATTTGTAAGTTATTATAAATGTTTGTATGATATACTAAATTGAGAGTGAGCGCGCGCACTGAAAAAAGCAATTAACTCTTTATTGTATGGATATAATAATTTTGAGATAAATCGCGCTTTCGTTTCTGTTAATCATTTTATGTCATTCGATTTTGTTGCTTTGTACCATGTTCTTAGTTTATTTCGAAATTTTGAGGGAGGGCTAAAAAGTGCTCAGAGATAGAATTTTTCCTCTCAATCTATAAATTCAAATACAAAATTACAGATTTTTCTCACCTATTGTTTTTGAAATCTGATTCGGAGAATCTTAATTAAGTGAAAAAAAAATTATCATGGAGTTTTATCATCTTTATCTATAAAAATGAAAAAAAAATTGAATTATAGTGGATTTGCAATGAATTTTAACGCTTCATTAAATGACAGCAACTAAGTTCATTTTTAATTGAGTATTATAGAACCATTTTCATTTTTATAGACACTAACAATAAAAACATTTTAGTAGATTTTATCCGTGGCATTTCATTGCGGGTAGTCAGACAGTGTATGGATAATTCTATAGCTTTGCTAGAGCCCCGGAAACCTTTTACGTGGTAAAAAAAATAATCAAACGACGCCAACAGGCAGCCATTAGACTTAAGCAAATTAAAGAAAACAATTGCATCAGCAAAAAAATGTATTTGTTTGAATCTTCTGACAAATCCGCTGAATTTAGAAATCTGCATTGAAAGAAAAAACTTATATCATTTACATTCATTTGTGAATAACGCACGCAGAGTTTCAATTACTACAAAAATACATAATTTGTCTTTTTTGAGTAATTGAAAGTGAAATGACTAATTTTTTGAAATTCTAACTGCTAAGTTGAAAAAATAGACTATACAAAAAATCCGCACTTTCTTCAAAAAGTGCAACATTAAATGTTTTAGGAATTTGTTTTGAAAACAACCAAAGTTATAAGCTTCAAATAAACAGAACAAAAATCTTTTTTTTTTCATACATTTTCACAAAAAATAAAATTTTGTTTGGTTCACCAATCAGCTTGCTTTGAAACTAAATTTTCTGGCAGTTGAATAACCTCAAACTGTTCAACCACGTGATTTTTCGGCTGATTTCAAATCTGATTAGATCGTATTAGTGCATACCTGTAATTATGGACTGGGATAGGTATCGAATGCTGAGTTGTCCATTATCGCTTAAACTTCTGACCTGCAATGAGTACATTGTTGCGAATTTTGCGAACTGAAGCTCGACAGTCAATTCACTTTGGGTCAAATTCAAAGGCAGTTGTACAGAACCGTCTTCTAGAATATTCTGGGCTTCGTTCAGTGTTTTTCCTTCCGAATCCAACTCGTATAATGCAACTTGGAAACCACCGAACTTCCCATTTTGTGGAGGATCAAAAGTTACTTTAATTAATCGGAGGTTAGGCAGAACATCAACTAATAGATTTTGTGGTTCCAATGGAGCTATAACAAAAAACTTGGTCTATGCAGCTGCAAACTGTGTTTAATTTTTTTCTGAAAATTTTTATTTTGATTCATTGAGAATTGTTTGGAGAATTTACCCACCTCTCTGAGAATTTTTCTCTGAGAATTTATACAGAAACAGTGAAAATGAATGAGCATA